AATATGTTCGTGAAGGAGCCCCTCAGGAATCATCGAAGGGCTCATGCCTCATTGCCTCCTCCTCCTGATCCGCCTCTACTTCCATTTTCTCATGGGTATGGTACATTGCTCATGACTCTGTATTCCTTTACCGCTGAACCCATTCATTTTAGCTATGTGCGTCCAATACCTTTGGAAAGAACGACTTCTGATGCCGCGGAGAGTGAATCGGTAGGTAGTACATTATTGTTTCGCCTATTTAATTTAATTGTAATGAATTCGGGAGGTTCATTTTAGAGAGCAGGAAGTCGTGTCGAAATCAGTTCATCTGCACCATCGCCACGAGCAAGTGGCGTAATTTATGGAAGAGATGCGCAACCGATTGCCGAACCATTACCTGATCAGAGTGATCACATTCTAACTCCCCCTCCTCCTCCACCAATACTCCGACCTCGATTTCCTACGATCCTTCCGGAAAGCAGATGGCTCTCCGATTACTCCAGCTTCTACTATCTCTCAGTTGCCGCAACCCCCCAACGTGGCCCAAAGACCTGCCCCTTCAGCTCCGCTACCGAGACCTCCACCTGCTTCTCGTCCCTTGCCTCCTCATCGTTTGCTGGGCGCGGCTGCTCGACCTGTTCCACCTCATCGTCTTATCAAATCGTTACCGCTCCCTGTTGTTCCTGCACCTAGAGTACCGAAGCCCCCTCCAAACACGGATTCTAATAATGCTCCTGAACATTCTCAGGGTACGGTCGCCGGCGAGGGCTCCAGCTCATCAAGTGTTGCTCAGAGCAGTCGTGATAAGGCACTTATTGACAAGGCAAACGCATTGTCATCAGCGGATTTGGATCCACTACGCATCCTTGCCGATGTGTCTGAAGCTGCAAGGGATAGTGAAGTGTCGAACAGTAAAGCGATGGCTCTAACAAGCAAAGGCTCAGCTCAGCAAAGTGCAGCCCAATCATCAACAACTGCAGCAACGAGCAATGGTGACGATGATGATGAATTTGAGGAAGAGTTGTAGAAGGTAAACTTTCGCTGGGCGCAGTTCGGCGACGGGGGGGGGGTGCATTGCACTCCGAGCCATCTAGAGAGCTCTTCCATGAGCAAGACAAGAGTTGACGGGTTTTACCATGGTGGCTAGACGAGCTTGCTCCAGCTTCACAAGAGTTCACAGGTTTCACAGGTGCGGAACTTGTGTACTGGACGTAGTAAAGCAGTGAAGATATAAGATGCCCCCCGTCGCCGAACAGCGCCGTTTCGTTGGCCCCTGCTGCTTAATAAAAGTAAAAATTATTTGTAGCGGCCACCACTGGGATCGATCATCATTTGACGATGGTACACTGCTCTATGGGAGAACTATTGTATTTAGTACTCCAAAAGTCGAAGGACCTTATAAGTTTTACAGGGGTCGATTTCTTTTTACAAGATTGTGGTCCACCTTCTGAAGTTTTCTCGACATCAGGATGCCTTAAAATAATGTATGTGGGAGGTCAGCACAGCACAAATTAGACTTTATCGCTTTTATCACTCCTCAACGTTGCGGCCATGAAAAAAGGACGTCGTAGAGCTTCTGATCAGTTAGCCTTGCAGCATTCCAATTACTAGTGAAAAGATTCGAGTTCCCTCTTCTTTGTTCCGTCAGGGATGAGGTAAATCCATGAGTAGTACACATTAGAGGCGAAAGAAGGAAAGTGCTCGTATGGGGGCTTGGTTTTGTCTGGTTGTGTTTCTCCCACTCGTTGAGTAGGTATCCCTCCATTTACATTGTGTATTCCATCCCATTAGTGATTGTAAATGCTGTTTCACAGTCTTCCATTCATATATTATTCCCATTGTAAGAATGAATTCCTATGCATGTGTACATTTCATTTTTGCGAATAAATTTTACAATACTTACATGAAGCATACTTTCTTCCGAACCTCCGGTGCTAAAAGCACTAAAATCGACCACATTTTGCCTTATTTTCTAGTGTATAAGGTGCATTTGAGGCGGAGGTGGTGTAGTGACAAGTGGCGCGCTTACCACTCGCGCGGCGCCGGGTTCAAATCCCGGGTCGACTCCCGCCCAGGCCAACCAAGCCTTCTACCCGGGACGGTAAATTGGTACCAGATTCGTCTGGGAGGATAAAACACTGACTTGTACATCGGCTGGCCACCGCAAGTCATTGTATAGGCCACATCGCATTCAATAAGCCACTACGATTCTGAATGGAAGTAGAATGCGTGCCGCATCCCACAAAGGGATTGATCAACGGCGAAGACTTTTATCCTTAATTGCATTTAATAGCACGATCGCAGGGGCGCATTGTATTGAATAGCCTGATTGGTTTTGTTCAGAGAAAATTTTGTTCTGATTTTTCTAGTTTTTTAGATGGTCGAGTCTGACATGGACACAAAAGAATAGCCTACACACCTTTTTTCTGTTACCGTTATCAACTGAGTAGAAAATGGGCGAAACGGCTAGAATATCAAAAAACGTGGGGAAAACTGGCTAAGGAATCATCAGCGGCCGGTTCGAGCTCTTGGAACAACTAGCAGTAAGTGAAGAGATAAGGATGTTAGGGGGGATGTTTCTCAAGGAATCAGCACGATTGACCTAAAGAGAATGGACCACTTGCGCTGACAGGACGGGAATTCCGCAGCTCTGGGCAGGTGGTTCGTAGCGCTCTCTCCAAGGAGGTACTGAGGACTAATCAAGCTACAATCATACGACCCTCGGATGTCCCACGCCTCGCCCACCCCACAATGGACGACTGCACCTGTGCTCATACGGACATTCAGCTTGCGATGAGTACAAATATTGAGAGCGAAGATTCATATGAATAGGATCATTTGAAGCCGACCGCGGTGCTGATTTATGTTATGGGATTCATACGTGCGCCGTAACTATGCAGCGGTTATTGGCAAGACGTCTACGGGAAACTCGTCCAAAATCGTTTTTCGAGTCATCAAGAACGAAAGCATGTTTTCGCAGGATTTTGACCGTTTCATTTCGTTCTTTCGCCGTTTTCCCTCTCTATATAGCACCGTGCCATCGTTATCAGACGAGTACTCAGTTATCGTGGCCATTATATGCCATCAGCAGGATGATTGAGATGACCAACGATTATGATATTATTCCTCTAAACTAACTCTTCGTGAGCGATGCTTATAACCTGGAAGCAGTTTAAGGAAAAGCCTTGCTAACTGGGCGAGCAACGTAAGCACTGGTCAGGCTCAGCAAGATCCAATTATCAGAAGTTCCTCGCTCCGGCTTACAAAATCAGAAGCACTGGAATTTCCTCATCCGCATCCGTGTGATTGGCAATGATGAGAAATGAACTAGTATGCCGACAAACCGCCAACCCAACGCCCGGGCAACACTTTTGATTAGGGCATTCCCCAACATGGGGGAAGGCGGGTGTTTTGGGATCGCAGGGAGAGGGTGTATTTGGGCTGAGAAAAATTTATTTTGATACTTGATTTCTCTTCCTTCACGGACGTTGTAGAGGAGAGGGGGGGGGATGTATTTGCGCGTTGTTGGGAGGGGAAGGTCGTATTTCCCCTTTTGACTAGAAGCTGCTCTGCTGACTTTTCTGACTTTCGTGGTTTTCCTGTTTCATGTGTACCAAATGGATGCCTGTTCCAGGCGGCTTTTCCCGGTCGCCTCACATGGTGCTATATTACCCCCCCCCAGCTCATTGGGGCAGAAAAAACCACGGGGGTGTAACCAACACCCATAAGAAGGCTACGACCCGCCGTGGTTCTCTCCTCTATCGAGCTGCTCGGCGGGCGCCGGGGAATAAAAGGGCGGGGAGGGTCGTATGCGCACTCGATCAAAAGATCGCCCAACCAATCGCATGTGCCCTGAAGTAGCCTGGTCTCTGCAGACCGCCTTGTAGGAATATCTGCCACACTGCCTCAACCATCAACACACTTCCTCTCAACACTCAATGCAAGGCAAGGCCCGTTTGCACCTCCAATAGGTATTCCTGCCTTTATTGTGCCGAGCAATAATGTTAATAACACCCTTAATATTATATTTATTAATAACGATTCGTCCATTTCTACGAAGTTCCTTCCTTATTAACTCTACAAAACAGTTCGCAAGATTATCCAAAGACAAGAGATCGTATATTCAGCGGGTTCACTTTTAATTACTCACCACTATATTCAACTTGAATCGAAAATCAACAAAATATCCGACATTATTACAAGGGTACGATACAGAGGATGCATAAAATGTATGCGTATATTGGACCCGAATATGACAGCAGACTAGCTTATTTTTAGGTAAGACAATCTAGGAATGACACCGTCTCTAAAAATACGTAAGACACGATGATAAGTGACAAGAGATAAGACTGCAATAGATAATCCTGACGTCTGATACGAATACGATAACTCTAGTAACACGTGAGCTAGGCAAACCCTTTGAATAGAATAAAGGCTGAAGAAACAAAACAACTAGAGGTTAGAATTTGACAATACTCAGGCAGTTCAGTACTGCTGAAGTCGCGCCAATAACTCGTCTGTTGTTGGTGAACCACTGTTCTCCTTGTGGGTTGGAGATATTTCAGCTGGTCTTAGTGCTACCTGAATAAACATGGACTGCAGATTATGGTAAAGTAAGAGTTGATGCAATAAAACTTTTCAATGCATGAAAAACAGTTATGAGCGCAGTTCGGTTTGATGGGGCACCAAATGGTATTCAGCGAAGTATCAACTTGTGGAAACCTGTAAATTCTTGTAACCAAAGCGGCTCTTTTGTACCATTCCGCAGCTTCACAAGTGTTCACAAGTTTCACCAAATCGAAACATATCAAAGTAAACTGGCAAAAGGAGCCAGCAAAATGCAAAATGCCCCTTCCAAGCCGAACAGCGCCGAAGTTATGTAACAAACTAAATCTTTTTCATTTGACCTTCCCCCCCTCCCGAACTGAGAAGGCGGCCGATGAGCAAAGTTCTTGATCAAAAGTAGGACAACAGCACTAACATGTCCATATTGATTAAACAAAGGCAGACAAAACTGAAGGCGGCATCTCGAAAATGGGCCCGAAAATGTGTTACGCGAAAAAAACAATCCAAATTAAAATAAATAAGTAAAGTAAATAAACAACAAATGAAATAAATAAGCAATAAAAACAAAGAGCAAAACAAAAAATAAAAGAAAAATAAAAAACTCAGTTTTGAAGAACCTGCAACTTATACAAGGAACAGATTTTCCAAGGCTAAAAGCTCTTTCGCTAGTTCGTGGTAAACTTTTGAGTTGAGGGACAAGTGGCACCATTCACCATGCGCGAGGTTCAGGGAGGGGTCACCGGTCAAATCTGTGATGGGCTAACGTCTGGGTCAACTAAAACCTCCATTTTTAAGGGGAAAGAAAATTAGTAGTAGATTAATCCGAAAGGATGAATGCATTGACGCTACATCCACGGCGGCCACCAGTCAAATCGCATTCATAAAGCCATTGCAAAGTAGGTGCATCCTGAAAAGGGACGAACAACGGCGGCAACTTTGTTTTATACTTAAAAAATCGTTAGCACTACCACTCGCACAGCACAGAAAGGTGATCCTGAGAAATTTGACCAAACTTTCAATTA